AAGGGGGCGTCCAGGGTACGGGAGATCGACCGAAGGGCTTAAATATTTCATATTCCTGGAAGCTGTCAAGGCCAAAAACAACAACACGCCTCCCGCCTCCCCCGGAGTGTTTGCAGAGGGCAGGAGCGTGTGTGCGTGCGAGGGGCCGGGAGGCTGCGGGGGGTGTGGGGGGGAAGAGGGTCATAAATTTTCACTTGTAATCAATCAATAATTAACTAATAGCGGAGCGTGGGCCGAGTGCTCCGGCGACGGCGGGTGCCCGCCCCGACGGGGTGTCGCTGTCGCTGTCCCCCCCCCACCGCGGGTCGCTGCTGCTCCGGAGAGTGTGTCGTCCTTTACCCCCCCCCACATCCCGATGATGCGGCCCCAGCACCGCTTTCCCAGAGACTTTGGACTCGGGGCTAAAAACTCCCGTGGGTACAACCTATCTCAGCTCCAAGGGAAGCCTGCGGGGAGCTCTGCCGCGCTGCCCGGCCGGGGGTCGGGGTGGGATGGGGGGGTCGCGATGTTGTCGCACCCCACCACCCCCCGAGCTCCCCCTCACCTCGGTGGGTGCTGTGCCCCCCTCCCACGGGCCGTGGGTCCCTCCGGGGGTCTCTCGGCGCTGCTCAGGCTGCCCGAGAGATGGCGCCGGCGCCCCGCCGGAGCCCCCCCCCGCCGCCGGCCACCCCCCACCCAGCGCCGGGTCGCCTGCATCAGCCATAAAACCATTGAGGATATCAAGACAGGCGCCAGGTGAGTAATAGACAGGATAATCCAGAGAGATTGCTCGCTGTTTACCTCCATCCACAAGCGCCACAAGAGTTACTCATTAACGTTACTATATACAAATAAGATACACAAGAGATAAAGCCATTTGCAAGTCAGAGTTACACCTGCGGTACACGGATTTCTTGCAAGGGCACGGCAGGAGGGGGAGGTCAGCGTTAGGCCCGTGGAAAGTGGGGCGTTTAAATCAGTCACGCTGCACCCTCAGCCTTGCAAAGGATAAACCGTGAGCTCGGGTTTTGGGGCGCCCTGGGGCTACCGGTGCCCGCCTGGCCTGTGGAGCGGCTACCGGGCTCCTGGGCCGACAGGAAAGCGAGACGAGGAGGGAGGGGGTGTGTATGAGTGCGTGTTGCTTTCCTCTGAATATCAACAGCAAGTTTAGCCGCCAGCTAGGACGTTTTTCCCCTCCACACACAGACCATAACAGTCCTCCCCCTCTAAGAGCGATTTGGGGGATCAGCAGCTGCGGCGAGGGAAAAAATAAAGGTTCTCCCCATCATTCTGAAGCCAAATAGACGGGAGCGAAGGGGCTGCGGGGTCTGTCGGGTGTCTCCGCGCCGCCGCTGAGGCCGGGGCTCAGAGCGGAGGAGAGAGTTGAGCGCCGGAGCAGGGATGGTTGTGCCGCCCGGAGGGGCTGGCAGAGCTCTGCTCTCCCCGGGGCCGGATTCCCCCTCCCGGAGCGGCTCCAGCTCCCACCCGCGTGGAGGATCCGTGTGTGGAAACGGGCCTGTGGGGCTGCAGCCTTCGGGGCTGGCTGCTGCAGCCGCTGCCTCCTTCTTCGGGTGGACTTTTTTTTTTCGTTTCTGTTGCCAGACCCGACGCCACCTCTATCCCTAAAAGCCCCCCCTCTCCCGGGCCGGCTGAGGGGAGCATCAGCTCAAGTGACATTTCCAGCAGCCATCACCTTGGGCCATCCGAGGGTGGGGAAAGAGGGAGAGAAAAAAAATCCTGCGCAGCCCAAACCGCAAGCAGCGTGGATTTAAAATACATCTCGACCCCCAAGTTGAAATGGGAAGGGTCCCGTTCCCCCCCCCCCCCAGGGGGACCTGAACAGTGTGATGGTCGTGGGGGGATTTTTTAATTAAAAAATCGGGGGGAATAAAAGCTTTATCGATACTTTCTCCTCCCTTTATCTCGCCGGCGCAGGAGCCAGGGGCCGCGGGCCGAGGGGCAGGCAGAACATAGAACAGGATACAGGCTGGAAGTACATCCTTATAATATTTATTACTGGCAGAGGATGAATCACTTTCCAATATACGGGCCACTAACTGTTGAAGGGATGGGGGGGAAAAAAAATCTCATTAACAAGAAATATATATGTTCTGCTAAATGATGTGCTCATGGACTGGCAAAGGTACAGGCAGTGGCTGCCAGTTCTCCTTAGTTCTCCTCTCAGTGACCTCTCAGGCCACTGGTCCAGCCCAAAGCCTGGATTTCTGTCCCCGTTTCAGCCACTTTCTAGCTTAATCTCAATATATCATGAGCCTAAGGGCGAGAAGAGGCGATTCAAGTAGAGGGGGGAGGGAATAAATTTAAAGAAAAAAATAATGTATTTCCAGGTGATAACTAATGGAAAAGCCAAATCCTCTGCTTGGACAGGAGAGAAAACGAGCCCAGCAACATCATCAACTCCTGAACACTTTACCTGGAAACTCTGAAGGAGGGCTCTGCATTAAAATTTAACTGATCTATTCTCTAATTCTTCACTTTTGCGTTATTAATTTATGACAGATAAAAGCATAGCTGAGCCTTTCTCATTAACTTTTCAAACGCCACTTAATATTGCTCCATTAAAAGAGGTGACTTTAGTAGCCTCTGGATCGACTTTAAAAGAGAGAGGGATAAAGACGGAAAAGGTACATTAAACAGCTTGCTTAAAACTCGTCCTTCCCCCCCCCCCAGCCCCCCCCCTCAACAATTCCAACGACACCATCCCGACTGGTTCGTACTAGCTCCTTCCAGGAGAAATATCTTAATATTGGGAAGGGGAAGGTGGGGGGTGGAGGAGAACTGGAGAAGAGGGGAGGGATATATATCTTTCAACCCCTCTGTCCTCCCAGGCACTTTGGGGAGGGTTGGGGTGAAGGCATTTCACAGTACGCCCAAGACATTTCAATAAAAATTTATTGAAACTTCAGTGACTTTTGAAAGGGAAAAAAAAATATTACAGAAAAAAAAAATAGCAAGAACTTCTCAACATTTATATAACACAAAATATACCTTCATTTTTTTTTCCTTTGAACCAGCTCCGAGCACCTGACTTTCAACCCAAGAAAATATGCACTCACTCAAACAAAGACAACAATAAGCACAGTAGTAAAACTCCATCGCAGGGTTGTTTTCTGACATACCGAGGAAAGAGGGGGAAATAATAACATAGTAAAGAAAATCCTAGAATCTTCACCTTTTTTGTTTGTTTGCTTTTCTTTCAAGCCACTGGAGAAGCCTGTTGTCGTGTTTTAATGTGTATTATTATCTTCTTGTTGACGTTTTATACGGCAAGTAGTGCTTTGAACACTGAAGAAACTGAGGATTAAAAGCTACCATGGCAGGCTGCTTTTTCTTTTACCTCTTTTAATTTTTTTTAAGGTCTTCGATTAATCTGGTTTCTTTCCGCTTTGCTTTTTTATGCATTCGGCTCCTTCACAAAAGGACCAGGTCAAGTTTTTCTGGGCTGAGCTCCGACTTAAAAAGTGAGCCCTCAGAAATGGGGGGATTTCTCCTCTGGGTCGGGGTGTATGTTTAAAGGAATTACAAACTTGAAATGAAAACGACTAAAAATAAAAACAGGAAAAAAAAAAAAAAGAAGACAGCTGCAGTCGTATTTACAGAGATATGTACAATGTCAATAAATTAAAGTTTAATTTCGAGTATTCATATTCCACGTATTTACAAGAGTTATCAAATAATTACATAAATACTTTGTTTTAATAATAGTGTCCGTTCTTTTCTTCTTCTCAGTATGTTTAAACCTTGTTATTGCATATACAATTAAAGAGGGAAAGCTGTGATAAACCTACAGTCAAGCTACAGAGAATTTTAGATAAAATAAATTCACTTTTTTTTTTCTTTCCAACTACACTTATTTTTTTTGCTACAGGAAGGATGTTTAAAGTAGAGGGACGAAAGTCTTATTTTTGTTTTTATTATTAATAATTTTTTTTCCCTGGGATTTGAAACGAGCCTTGAAAATAAACAACAAAACCCCATAGAAATA